ACTGGCTGTCTCTTCCTCCTGGGATGCTTTTCTTTCACATGCTGGCTCCCTCTCCTCATCCTGACTCAATGCTCCCTTCTCAGACTATCCCCACCAGGACCTCCAGCACTTTCTGATTCCCTGCCCCACTTTATTTTTCTTCTTAGCTTATCTTGCCTCTTACTCTCCGTATATTTTACTCGTTACTTTGTTTTCCCCACAAGGTTGTTTGTTCCACAAGGTCAGAGAATTTTGTCTGGCTGGTTCATAGTTGTACCCCAAATGACTAGACAAGTACCTATCACATAGTAGGTACTCAATAAATGACACACAGCTGGCTTGGCTTGCAGGTGCATGTTCTCTGCTTCATGTGAGTTCTGGCCATCACCAAGGCTTCACTAAGAGGTCCCCTCTTCTAGGAAGGCTCCCTGGAATCTCTGGTGGACCACACCCTCCCCTCTCAAGGCCTGTTGAAGAAACTTGATCTCCCTCCACTTATTCACCATCTGTTCCTGAAACTGTCTCTGTGGACTCCTCCAAACCCAGGGCCCACGGCTGAGTGTCCTCTGGCTCTCTAGGGAATGGCTGTGGCTCTGGATCCTAGCAGGTGCTACACACATATTTCTGGAGAAATGTTGGCATGAAGGAGACTGGGGAGGTGGATAAGCAAGGGAGAGAAAACAATAATGGCCACTCAAATTAATCTAGAGTGTCCCACAGCCAGGTGCGGCACACCCTGCTTGTGCCTGCTCACTCCATCTCAAAATAGCTCTGTGAAGAAATAGCCTTATTATGATCATCATGCCCCCTTTACCAAAAACAGAAGTTGTGTTAAACAATGGGGTTCAAACTGTTTTGGTAGCACACCCTATTGGTAAAAAAAAAAAAAGTGTTGAGTATAGATCCGCATTTCCTACCTATTAATTTATAAATTACGTATATGTGCTAATATCTCTACAACAAATGTGCACAAAAGTAGAGATTTAAAGAGTTGGATGAAGATAAAGAACTGTGGATCTTATATGCCCTCAGGGACTGCACGTCCCATTTGGAATCCAGTCCTCATGGATGAGGAAATGAGTGAGTGCTCACGACTCATGGTGCTCAGAGCAGAGGCTCTGGGACCATATTTTGTGGTTGCTCTTCATTTATTAGCTGGGCAAGTTCACTTGGCAACATGAGCAAGTTGCTTATTGTCTCTGAGTCACAGTTTTCTCATCTGTAAAGTGGAAATTGAAATAGTCTCAACTTTATAGAGCTATGGTGAGGAGTGAATTAGACTGTTTCTATAAAGTCTTATAACAGGGCCTGATGCCTGTTTGCTATTCCTATTAGGAAAATGCTTCTTTATGGAAATAAAGCTAAAAAAGTGGCCAGGGTCAGAATACCAGAGTGAGGACTCTGGTGAGAAAGCATGTCATCATCTCCTCTGCTCTGTGTCAACGCTGACACGATTTGGAGCTGAAACCCCTCTCTGCAGTTAGCATGTGACAAGAGTGGGTGGAAAATGGGGCCATCTGAACACTGCCTCTAACTCGTGTGACCAGATTGGGTTCCCTGTCTGTCCAACAGGATCAGAGCAGCGTTGGGGTCAGAGGCTTGGATGACTCAATGGGAGAAAATGTGTTTTGTCTGTTGGAAAAGGAGGCTCAGGGTTCCAGGACCCAGAACTGCAAACCTGAGCAGCTTTTGGGCAAAGACATTACTTGTCAGGGTCATAATTCATTCATCCTCTGCCCAAATTGGTAGCTTCAGCTCCTGGCTTGCAGAATAATCGCCCCCCTCCCCTGCTCCACTCCAAGTGATTTGTGGACAGACTACATCAGAATCACCTGGAAATATATATATATAATATATATACATTAGAGGCCCGGTGCACAAAAATTTGTGCACTCGGGGGGGAGAGGAGGTCCCTCAGCCCATCCTGTGCCCTCTCGCAGTCTGGGACCCCTCAGGAGATAATGACCTGCTGGCTTAAGCCTGCTCGCGGGTGGCAGAGGGCAGGCCCAATCCCTAGGTGCAGCCCCTGGTCGGGCTCAGAGCAGGGCTGATTGGGGAGTTGGGGCGCTGCCCCCTGTCATGCACAGAGCAGGGCGGATCGGGAGGTTGCGATGCCACCCTCAGTCACGCTCAGGGTACAGCCGATTAGGGGGTGGGGCACCGGCACCGCCCCCTGTCACACTCAAGGCAGGGTCGATGGGGAGGTTGCGGCGCCACGACTGTCACACACAGAGCAGGGCCGATCAGGGGGTTGGGGAGTTGCCCCCTGTCATGCACAGAGCAGGGCCCATCAGGGGGGTTGGGGCTCCATACCCTGTCACACACAGAGCAGGGCCGATCAGGGGGTTGAGGAGCTCCCCCCTGTCACTCACAGAGTAGGGCTGATAGGGGAGTTGGGGCACCGCCCCCTGTCACACACCGAGTAGGGCGGATCAGGGGGTTGGGGCGCCGCCACTGTCACACTCAGGGCAGGGCCAATGGGGAGGTTATGGCTCTACCCCGTCACACACAAAGCAGGGCCCGTGGGGGTGGGGGTTGGGGCGCTGCCCTCTATCACCCACAGAGCAGGGCCGATCAGGGGGTTGGGGCGCTGCACCCTGTCACACACAGAGCAGGGCTGATCAGGGGGTTAGGGCACTGCACCCTGTCACACACAGAGCCGCAGGGCAATCAGGGCGTTGGGGAGCTCCCCCCTATCAGGCACAGAGCAGGGCTGATCAGGGGGTTGGGGCGCCTTCCCCTGTCACGAACAGAGCAGGGCGGACAGGGAGGTTGTGGCCCCGCCCCCTGTCACACACAGAGCCGCAGGGCAATCAGGGGGTTTGGGCGCTGCCCCCTGTCACGCTGATCCCGGTGCCGGGAGGCCTTGCTGCTCCGCTGATCCATGTGCTGGGATGCATATTACCCTTTTACTATATAGAATAGAGGCCTGGTGCACGGGTGGGGGCTGGCTGGTTTGCCCTAAAGGGTGTCCTGGATCAGGGTGGGGGTCCCCACTGGGGTGCCAGGCCAGTCTGGCTGAGGGGCTGAGGGCCGTTTTTAGGCTGGCGGGTGACTGAAGCTCCCAACCGCTCCTTTTTTTCTTTTCTTTTTTTTTTTATTCTGGGCCAGTTTTAGCTGAAAGCAGGTTTCTGGCCTTTGTTTACCTTCTGTATTTGATACAATGTTGAGGTCCGGCTAGCTGAAGCCCGGCTGACTAAAGCGGGTTTCTGGGGTTTGGTTTAGCTTCTATATTTGCAAAATAGTTGCTTAGAGTTGCAGCTGAGAGGCTGGTAACTCAGGCGGGGAACGTTGGAGTCTGCAGTCACTGGAGCAAGCAAGCCTCCCTGTTCGCTTCAGTGCATGGCTGCCGGCCGCCATCTTGGCTGGCAGTTAATTTGCATATCGCCCTGATTAGCCAATGGGAAGGGTAGCAGATGTATGGCTAATTACCTTGTTTCTCTTTTATTAGATAGGATATATATACTAGTAGCCCGGTGCACAAAAATTTGTGCACTCGTGGGGGGGGGTCCCCTCAGTTATTAAACATATATCGGCACAACACTGACCACATTGGTGGTGGTGGTGGTCTTGTCAGAATGTGTTATATTATGCAGATGAAAATCTATTTAAACAGATTTGATGTAGATATTTTCAAAGATGGAAGAATTGTCCCTGTCAACTATTTTAGTTGATTCATATCTTCACTAATTGTTATCATTGCAAAGTTTTCAGTCCCCATATGGATTGCTGGATATAATAGGTCATGCGCTGTCCCTGTCCTTTGTAACCTTTGTTACCTTAAGGACTCTAGTTTTCCATTTATATGTTTAAGTACCAACCTACCCGCTTAAAAATGTAAGCTTTTAACACTGCTCTCTCTGTTCTGTATCCTTCCGATGAAAAGTGGAGTTGGGTTGCAGCACAGGAGAGAAATTCAGAAGGGGAATATTGAAGTAATGACTGCAGTAGGAGAAGAGGGAATCTATTTCCCTGGCCACAGGCGCTGGCACCCTGGACCACAGGGCTGGCAGCTTCTCTGGGTGGCTGCAGCCTGGGACCTCGGGCGGGTGGCTTGTCCGTCTCCTGGGCTGCAGCCAGCCGCAGGTGCTGGCACCTGGACCAAAGGTGGGCGGCTTCTTCTTCTGGCGGCTTCTTCTTCTTCTGTGCTTCCAGGGAGGGCAGTCAGTTATGTGTATATGTGTGTGCATGCAAACATAGGCGTGTACACGTGTGTATGTGGAAATCTGCTGGGCAAGTCAAAACCATAGAAGAGTTGCCCCCTATCTCTTGAATCTTCCAGAGATATCCCCCACTTTTTTATTCTATCACTACTGGAGAGTCAGTATTTGCAGCCAGCCAGCCAGTGACTTTCTCAGTGTCTATTTCTGACTTCTTCTTTCCCTGTCTGTCTTCCAACCCCTAATCATATTTCCACATGGATGCATCATTTTTACTCCCAATATGCTGTATAGAGAAGGAGTCAGGATGCTGTCTTCCCATGAATAGTACTCAATAACAACCCAATTGCATTTTAGTTGGGCAATGCCCCTACCCACCCTTCAAATCCCTTCCACCATGCATTTCTGTTTCCCTTTTTGTTTGTTGGATTGTTCTGCTGCTCCTTCTCCTCACCCCACCACCCTTGGATTGTAATGTAAAATTCTTTTACCATGTCAAGAAATTATTAAAAATACAGGTACTTTGAAAAAAAATACAGATACTTCTCCGAACACCGGCCGGGGGGCGGGGGGGGGGGGGGGGGGGGGGGGGCAGGGAAAAAGGGGCCACCCAAAGGCACCTCTTTCCTGGCGGCCCTCCACCCCCAAATCGGCCCTCCACCTGAGTGTGCACCCCAATATGCAGGAGATGTGATGAGGCCCAGCCCTCTGTATTCAGAACCGGGCTCTGGCCATGTAGAAATGTCTCATTTATACCTCTGGCTACAGCCAGCTGCGCACAAAAGGTTAGGAGTCCTGAAGCCTGTCCTGCCAAGGAGAAAGGGTGCGGCCCTCTGTCCCCCCAGCGCCCGCATGCCCACGGCCTCAGGCGTAGAAGATGAGCTCGGGGATCTGCCCGCCCTGCACCCTGGTGTGGTTGGTGCTGTCGGAGGAACACTGGAACTGGAAGGTCACCTTCCCACACTGCACCTCCATCAGGCCCTCCTGCCCGAAGTAGCTGAGCTCGCTGCCATCCAGCATGGCGCTGGCCGTGTAGAAGGTGTCCTGCTCCACCTGCACCGAGTGCTCGAACCAGACTGGGAAGGTGCTGCTGGAGCCGTCGGACACAAACCTGGTCAGGTTCTGGGCGAGGACCACCCCCAGGTGCTTGAGCTCGATCTTCACACTGTACTCAGCTTTCCTGGAGCTGGACCCATACAGGCCCAGCCCCGCCACAAACACCCTCCTGTCCGCCGCAAACTGGATGCTGTCACAGCACCCCCAGTAGCGCCACTGGTTGCTGCGGTAGGCCGAGGACTGGAAGCGGTGGCACCTCTGCGGGGCCAGGCCTCGCCTCTTGGTCAGCGAGAAGTCAAGCAGGGGCTTGTTGGCCACCGTGTACCACAGGAAGATGTTGTGGGTCTCCTCCAGCATCAGGATGTCCGACTGGGCAGCGCCGGTGGCAAACTCCTCCAGGGTCATGGTCGGAATATGGACCAGGTAGAGGGCCGGCCCCAGGACGTGCCTCTTGTTGTGTGGGGTACTGGGCAGGCCCTGCCGCTTGCACTCGGCCTCGGCCCAGTTGAGCACGGCCTCGAAGACCACCGCCTCCTTGGTGTTGAGGGCCTCCCGGGTGACGACGACCTCCAGGGTCTGCCAGTCGATCTCGCAGAAGCCCTTGGACCGTAGGGCCATCTCTGCCTGCACATCAATGACCTCCTAGCAGCGCTGGGTCAGCTTGGGCTCCTCAAACAGCCGGCTCTGCAACAGCAGGACACAGGCGTTCTTGGCTTCCAGGCTCGTCTCCAGGAAGTGCACGCAGGCTTTCGCCGGCGGCCGCTTCTTCCCTGCCCTGCCGGCTTCTCTGATCACCGGCAGGGGGGTGGGCAAAGGTGGCCCCGGTTCTCTGATCACGGGCCGCCTTTGCCCTGCTCCCCGGCTCTTGCCTGCCGCCTGGGTTTCTGATCACCGTCAGCGGCAGGCGGCTTCTTCCGTCCTTCCCCTTTCGCCTCCCAGCATTGTGCCTATGTATGCAAATTAACTGCCATCTTTGTTGGCAGTTAACTGCCATCTTTGTTGGCAGTTAATTTGCATATCGCCCTGATTAGCCAATGGGAAGTGTAGCGAAGGTACAGTCAATTACCATGTTTGTCTATTATTAGATAGGATATATAATCTCCTATATAATAAAGAGGTAATATGCAAATTGACTGTTACATCCTCGCACAAGATGGCCACCCCCATGTGGTCACAAGATGGCCACCACAAGATGGCTGGCAGGGGAGGGCAGTTGGGGGCAATCAGGCCTGCAAGGGAGGGAAGTTGGGGGCAATCAGGCAGGCAGAGAGGCGAGCAGTTGGGAACCAGCAGTCCCAGATTGTGAGAGGGATGTCTGACTGCCAGTTTAGGCCCGATCCCTGTGGGATCGGGCCTAACCCGGCAGTTGGACACCCCCCGAGGCATCCCAGATTGTAGAGGGTGCAGGCTGGGCTGAGAGACACCCCCCCAGTGCACAAATTTTGTGCACCAGGCCTCATATATATATATATATATATATATATATATATATATATATATATATGTGTGTGTGTGTGTGTGTGTGTGTGTGTGTGTGTGTCCGCTGCAAACACACTCTCTCGTCACCCATAGGCTGCTTATATGAGACAGTGTCCCATAAGAGTAAAATGGAGCTGGAAAATCTCTATCACCTAGTAGCCATTGTAAAGTCAGAGTGCAGCACATCACTCACATGTATGGTGATGCTGCTATAAACACACCTACAGCTGCCAGTCAGATAAAAGCATAGACATACAATTATGTGCACTACATAATATTGATGATGATAGTAAAAGACTACATTACTGGTTTGGAGCTACTATTCTGTACTCTTTATTGTTATTTTAGGGTGTGCTCTTTCTATTTATGAAGGAAGTTTGCTGTGAAAGGTGCGCTATGCTACATTGGCCAAGCTGTCTATGTTGTGCTCACCGTGGCTCTTGGTTTCATCGATTTCTCTTGTGCTCAATGTAATCTCATGCTGTTTTGTACAGTAACATGTTTATACTATAGGCTTGTTCCTTGTAATAGAGGCCTGCTGTCTGAGATCAAGAGGCAATCCCATACTGCCTGGGTGTGTAGTAGGCTAGAGCATCTGGGTGTGTGTACTGCAATGCACTCTGCAGTGTTCGCACAAGGATGAAATCACCTAGTAACGCACTTCTCAGAATGCATCCTGATCATTACACAGCACATGACTATATATATATGTGCACTGGGATCACATATATATATGCACTGGGATCACAGGGGACGGGATTAAGAAATCTATATTTGTAAAAAGCTGCTCAGGGCCCTACAGCATGGTTGTACTACCTGCTTTATAATTTTTAAGGGACTCAGCATCTCTCTCTGTGACTATTACACACCAGTGGGCAGGATCAAGTGGGGCTGGGGTTCAAGCAGGATTATTTGCTTTATTGCTGAGCCTCTGTTTTCTCATCCATAAACAGGAATAGCAAGAGCACCTGCTTTTCTTAAAAATGAGGCCTAAATTCTCTGGGAGAAGCCAGGCTGGTAAGTGCTCAATAAGTAGGAAGCATGGTTATTACTATCATATTAAAAATAGCTAATAATTAGTAGTTGTTATTATTATAGTACATGTAAAATATTTTATGCAGGAATTTAAGTTCATTTAAAAAAGGATCTTAAATGCCACAGAAAAGAAACCCCTGATTCACCAGATCAGAGAAAAAGAGCATGCAAGTCATTTGCCAATTCTGTTCAAAGAAGCCTCAAAGCAAAACAGAGCCCCTGCTCTGGCTTCACACATCCCTGAAAGGGAGCGTGCTCTGCCAGTGCCACACCTGCCCAGTAATCACACCGTCCTTCTGTTCAATGAAAGAATGACTATACAAACAAATCAGAAGCTGAAAAAATGATGCAGCAATATGTTAAAACAGACACTACTTCAATACAAACACATTTGAAGTTTTCACATTAACTTTTTTCTTTAATTACTTTAATATAAAAGATAGCAATATTCCATATTTTAAATGATATACTAGTAACAACAGTATTAAAACCCTCTAATAAGTATTTAATTAATATAAATTTATTGAAGGGTATCAATGACTACCAAATTAATAATACCAAGTCTTTACTGATGTCTTTTGCATATTTGGAGGTAGGTAGAGAAAATATCAGATAGGAATATGGACGTTTTATTTTTTTTAATATATTTTATTGATTTTTTACAGAGAGGAAGGGAGAGGGATAGAGAGTTAGAAACATCGATGAGAGAGAAACATCGATCAGCTGCCTCCTGCACACCCCCTATTGGGGATGTGCCCGCAACCAAGGTACATGCCCTTGACCGGAATTGAACCTGGGACCCTTGAGTCCACAGGCTGACGCTCTATCCACTGAGCCAAACCGGTTAGGGCAGGAATATGGATGTTTTAAAGCTACATTTTTTCCAGCCTTTATCTTTTTATTAAATCTTGTGTCTGTTAGAAGATTTACTCAAGATGGTTGTAAAGATATTCAGCTAAAATCACACTTCAAATGCCAGATGGGTTTTGGCCCCATTTGACATCAGCAAAGCTATTGATTGACACATATAGAAACTCTTAGGTTTTCAGGTTTTTTAGAGTCTCTGAGCTGAATAGTTTGGCCTTGTAAACCGTTTTTTTTTTGGCCTTCAGTGTGTTATACATAATTCCTAATTAGGTGAAAGGGCACGCTGTGGTAGGTGGTATGATGGGAATTGTCAATAATTAAATAACACACGAGAAAAATTGGGATGTATGCCTTAGTATCATGAGAGCACTCTAATGCTTTGAATTTTCTCCATGTGATTTTTAACATATTTCAGACTGAGCAGTCATTGCATTTGTAATGATACTGACAGTTCATTTGAAACATTTCTGGTGCTTTCAAAGTTAACATGATTGGAATAAAACTGCAAAAGAATACTCAGCCTTTGCAATCTTGTTCTAATTAGTGTATTTACAAAGTCCAACACTCAGTGAAAAGTGAATTGAAAAATCAGCCAAGACCAGGGATTTGGCATCCAGGCTTCCCCAGGTTAATGGGCAGAATTAGATGATGCAAGAAAATTCTGTGACATTATCAGTGCCCATTAAAATTCTTTTCAAGGGAATTTGGAATGTAGAAAATATAAATTTAAAAGGTGTTTTTTATGTATTTCTTAGAAAGACAATTATATTTTTCTCTAGCTATCAATCCATGATTCCACAAAGTCCATCCTTTTTGCCAATGTCTTGTCTAACTCATGTCAACATCTGTGAATCAGTTTGTCTTTTCTGATATTTTAAAAAGGTTCTAACTGGTGTGAGATGGTATCTCATTGTTATTTTGATTTGCATCCCTAAACCACAAGTGCTGCCGAGGATGTGAAGAAAAAGAAACCCTCGTGCACTGCTGGTGGGAATGCAGACTGGTGCAGCCACTGTGGAAGACAGTATGGAGTTTCCTCAAAAAAAAATTAAAAATGGAACTCCCATTTGACCCAGTGATCCCACTTCTAGACCTATGTCCCAAGAAACCAGAAACACCAATCAGAAAGGATATTATGCACCCTTATGTTTACAGCAGCACAATTTACAATAACTAAGATTTGGAAACAGCCTAAGTGCCTATCAACAGATGAATGGATTAAAAAACTGGTACATCTACACAATGGAATACTATGCTGCTGTAAAAAAGAAGGAACTTTTACCATTTGCAACAGTATGAATGGAACTGGAGAGCATTATGCTAAGTGAAATAAGCTAGGCAGAGAAAGATAAATATCACATGATCTCACTTATATATGGGATATAATGATCAACATAATTTGATGAATAAAAATAGATCCAGAGACAAATGGCAGGGGAGGGGGTGGTTAGAGAGCAACCAAAGGACTTGTATGCATGCATATTAGCATAACCAATGGACACAGACACTGGGGTGGTGGGGGCTTGCCCAAGATAGGAATCGCTGGGGAGGGGGAGTGTCAATCGGGGGAAAAGGAGACATATATAAAACTTCAGACAATAAAAAAAGGTTCTAAATTCTTTAGGCCTTCAACAAGCTGAAGAAGTACACATGCCAACTCTTTGCATCTTAAAGAACTTCAGGCAAGCTATTCTGTTCTTGAATGATCTTCAAAGGAGGTCAAATTTGGGACTGAGTAGGTGAACTTGGCCAGTGCAGTATGCACTGTCATAACCTCACAGCATTGTCCTGGAACCTCACGCAGCAGGAGAATCTTAGGGTGAGCCTGTACACTTTGGTGCAGGAGATGTGGGGTGGGGCCCAGGAATCTGCTGCACTGGTGGTTCCAGTGCAGGAGGCCTTTGGACCACACTTTGAGAAACAACTATTTGCAGCTTCTTTCTGTTTTCCTTCACTGCTAGGTGCACCACTGACAGGGCGATTTATTACTTTGTGGGTCACTGGAATGAGATGCACACAGACATTTGTGGAATGTCATCAATGGTATTTTCATGGAGGCCCATCATGGAATGAAAATATGCACACGTGGTAACTAGCACAAGGTTTTAATGCAACCCCAGGCATCCCTGTCTTGATTACTGGAGTTTTAAAACACATCCTGCTGTCTGATAAGGTAAGCCTTCTTCTTTATGTGTGTCCTGCTTCTTGTATAATCTTTGTGTGTGCTATTTATTCTTCTCTTATGTTGATATATAATTCCCATAAAATAAAATCTATAATTTTAAAGTGTACAATTCAGGTATGTTTAGTATTTTCAAGGTTCACACCACCATTTATCACTAAATACTTCCAGAATATTATAATCCCCCCAATAAATTCTGGACTGTTTAGCAGTAACTTCCCATT